ATGTTGAGACGATTTGCGTAAGAAATGAAGGGACAAAGTTCATGTGAATATCTGATTAGAAAGAAATACCAAGTGTTCTAATGGAGTTTAACGTTCGTGTTAAGTGTCCTTTCACTTTCAGATTACCTTCCTCTAACTTGAACCTTTTAACCTCAGTGGACACAGAATTATATGAATTGAATTATACTATATTTCACTGGAGCCATACAGCATGACACAGTATTTCAGAATTTCATATGCTCCTGCCATTCTCCTTTGTTTTTTTGGAATTTAAAGAAGGCCGGACATGAATTATACAACAGGCCGACTTTATAAAGGCATCAACACATGGACATGCTGGTCCTATAACAATGATGTAAAAGAAATAATGCTTAGAGACAGGACTTCTGTCCCCTGAATGATGTTATGGAGGTGACCTTCAGCAACTGTGTCTTCTTAATCCCTTTTTTAAATGAATCCTGTAGAGGCAGGCTTAAGTGTAAATGTATTGTCCCCTTTCCACTGTGAAAAGAAAACCATATTCCATATACCCGTATACATTGTTCACTACAGTCTGTGCCATATATTTTTGTTTTAATGCAATTTCCCCATTGACATTCTCCGGCTTTCTTCAAGCCACAAAAACGTCGCGGAGGCCAACTTCGCTCTGCACGAGACGCACTGCAGACGCTTCTTATGTCTGTGTCCTGACTGTGGTGAGACAGTTCCCAAAGAGCAACTGGAGCAGCACAGAGAGGAGGAGCACACTGAGGTACACACACACACACACACACACACACACACACACACACACACACACACACACACACTCTACACTGTGGGTTTACAGCTCTGTTTGTTTGCAGACGAGATGCTCCGAGTGTTTCCAGAAGATGGAGCGTTGTCGTCTCAAGGATCACAAGGTGAGTCCAGTATTACTGCAGGCTGGACATAGGGAGCAGTATTAGTTTACTTTTAGAAATGTACGTATTTGTGCTGCCCATGTTTGTTGTCTTCCCCCCCTGGTCATTGAGAATAAAAGATGTCTAACAGGCAGCGAGAGTGTTAAGACAGATGGATTGTGTTGCCTGGAAAAGAGCAACACTTTTGTCGTGAGGGTTCGATTCAGTATTTGCCAAATGTCTATTTATCCGTCTGACTCTGCTCGTCTCTGTCTCCCAGGCTGATGAGTGTGTTGAGCGCCTGCAGGCCTGTAAGTTCTGTGACCTGGAGCTGCCCTGGAAGAAGCTGGCGGAACATTGTCTGGCGTGTGGGAGTCGCACCGAGCTCTGCAGGGACTGCAACCGCTTCGTGAAACTGAGTGACCAGCCGGAGCACGCCTCCACCTGCTCTTCTGCTGACAATAATGCAAGTCCCGCCAGCACTCCAACAAATCAGAGTAAGGGGATGCAGGGTTCGGCACAGATTTCAAACAGCCACCAGGTGTTTTATCTCCTGTAATTAACTCTTGCTCGTTCTCTCACCACAGAAAAGGTAACAGTTAGCTGTAGCATATGCATGCTATTATTTCCTGCTGAGGACCTAGAGGAACATGAGGTAAAAGCTTTTTTTTTTCTTGGCATTTCTCTTATAAATTATGAGAACAGTTCTTCAAGCTTCACAGAGGTTCTTTGGAATATTAAAAAAACTTAAAAATGATGAAATCCTCTAAGAATCTTCGTTTACGAATTTGACAAAAATTTTAATTGATTTTGTGAAAAATCTTATTTCTAAATATTTTCTAAAACTGCGTTATTATTTAAGTTTTTTTGATCAATTTATTGTCAACATATAACAAATGGTGAAGCGGCTGTTGCTTTACACTAGCATTTAGCTAAAATGCTAAGTCAAGCAAACAAATGTCCTAATTTGCTTCATGCTGCAATATTTAATTTAGCAAACCTTGGCATGTGTGGCCGTAAAACCCTTTGCTTTGCAGAGAAGGTTTTTTTTTTTAAATATTCTCGAAAGTGACATAGCCTAGGCTAAAACCTAGGCTAAAAGGTTTTTGGCTAAAACCTAAAGGTCTCGGTTAGACTAGACCTTTTCGAGTCACTTCACTCACCCCTCCATCGGCATCGTGGTGAGTGGATAATGAGTTAATTAAAATTTTTCAGTGAACTATCCCTTAAATCCAAAAATCCACTGTGGAGCATTTTCATCTTCATCGTGAAGATTATTGGTTTTTTTTTGCATTTGTGTGTTTGTTTCCACAAAAACTACTGGATGGATTACCACAGGTAATAATACCTTTGTCTGCATTTCCACAAACCAGCTAGAGTGTGCCTCCGCATCCGGTTGTGACGACTCTGGAGAGGAAGAGACGGAGGATGAGGATGAGGAGGAGGAGGAGGAGGAGGAGTTACCTGGGCAGGTGACCATTCCTCAGCTAAACAGCATCTATAGGGCAGCCTCCCTGTCACCCACCCCCCCCAATGGTCCATTGGGTGACGGAGGAGATCAAGACCAGATCAGCATCTGTCCCCACTGTTCTCTGGCCCTGCCTCTCGTCACACTGCGCAGGCATCAGGTAACATTCCTGCATCACGTAAGATTTGTGTCAACGTTTCTGTGAAGTTCAAATAATAAGAGGTGTTCCCTCCTCCCTGTGTTTCCAGACCAAGTGCCAAATCTACGCTCACCTGAAATAAAGAGGACATGGATGAGGTGCCTCTCACAGCTTTGATCAATATGTCAGTCGTAACAGATGCGTGTTTGGATTGTAGGTAAATAAATTAAAGGGCTACATTAGATTTAGTTTCTGTCTCAATAAAGGATTACATTTGGTTTTTACTTTAACTGACCGTTAGTTTAAATTAGTGATTGCGTGTAGTGACAGTAGTTAAGAATACGTTGAACTTCACACTGTGTAGATTGTTTTCTGTGAAATGCAAATACAGCTGCTGATCTGTAAAGCTAACTGACTGAAATGTTTTGAGCTGGAAACTTCATATTGAGACATTTTAAAAGCAGTTTAAGTTTAGTTATTGTGTTTGAAGTCCACCTCTTTGTATTCATGTTATTTAGAATAAGCTTCTGTAGCTGAAGTTATTGCCATAATGTTTTATTATTTGAGGTTACAATGTAAAACTCTGCAAAGGAGGTTATGTTTTCCATCTACATTTGTTTCAGTTGGTTTGTAGGATTACACAAAAAAACGTCCATGAAGGTTGGTGGAGGGATACGTTGTGGTGCTCCGGGACCTTGTGAGATTTTTTTTTTAATTTTCGTTGATTTCACAGAAAAATTATTGTTGAATTGTGATGAAAAGAATCATATTTAAGATACTGAATGCATATCTGAATACAAATCTGGTTTGAATGTATAAGGATATAAATATATATATTTTTTAGTTGGCTGTTTTTGTTGTTGGTTGTTTTTGTTATTATTATTATTATTATTATTATTATCATTATGTCAAAAATTGAAATCATTTACCAACAAATCATTTCATGTGTCTGTGTTGCAGCCGGTCACTCCCACTTCCAAAACTGACTTTTACCTAGTTTTTAGTTTTGTAACTCGTTTTATAATATGGTTGTTTCAAATTATATATTTTACTGGAATTAAAGATTGTGGCCATCGGGCATCAACTGCTCTCTCACTGTGAACAACATACATGTGCAGTCGTTCATGTTAACATTGACAACGTGACATACCAACAGTCAGAGCTGCTCAAACAGGATTTCATGAACCTGACAGACAGTTAATTAAAGACAAAATTCAAACGTGAACAAATATCCCACAAGTTCACATCTGTGGAGGTGCTTACATTTTATCTCTGCTCCTGCCTACCTGTGCTTGTGGTTTTAATTTACTGTCAAACTGGGTTTTTATCTGAATTCTCTCATCTTTTATCTGACCTAGTGATAAATTTGGACAAGATTATTATCTGAATTTAACATTCACACCGATATATATATAAATATAAATATATATAATAACTGACTGGATTAGAGCTAAACTCTCAAAATAAAATACACACAGAAAGAAAAAACCAAGCTAACATAAATAATTAAAGATAAACACACGCACACACATATACTAAACTTAAATGGTGTGTGTGCGCGTGTAGGTGACGTCAGCTCCGGTAAAATGACACGTTGTTGCCATGGTAACCCTCTGTTGCTCTACGGTAGCCCCGAGCGGCGGAGGATAAAACTTGTTTCATGTTCTGAGGCCTCGCGGAAACACGGTAGGTCTCTGATCGATGAAGCGACACGTGGGTTTCTGTGACGCGTCTTTTTTTCGTGGAAGGTTTCAGCTCCAGTAGAAAACCCCACGTTGGTGACCCACACAGCTAAAGCTGAGGTGAAGTGCGTGCTGACGACGGACAGAACTCACAAGCTCGATCACACATTTCACATCATTGAGGGAAAACTTTAAAGCAAATAACTAAAACAGCACATGTCCTTTGACTCTTCAATGACAAACTTCTTACACTTAAATAGACATTTTTTGGGAGTTGGTTGTTTTTGTCGTTGTTATAATTAAGAAATAATTCCCCTTATACGTATATATATTGCACAAATTTGACTTTAATTAATCTGAATGCGTTGTGGTGAATGCAGACGTTAAGACTACAGCAACATGGACCTCAGCCGTCAGCAGACAGCCGGACCTGATCTAGACGATGTTGAGCTCACGAGGAAGCGGTCAGAGCTCTTCAGTGGAGAATGCATGAGGCTGATCCAAGAGACGAACAAAGCGTGTAAACGAATGCAAGATAACGACAACAAGCAGCTTGGTGAGTGAGTGACTGAGTCTGATGCAGAGGGTTGATGTTCAGGGTTTATAGCAGTGCTTTTTTTTAATCTGCTTCTCAGATCAGAGGGTCAAAGACATCAAGTTCCTGAAGAAGGAGTTGGAGCTGAAGTTGGAGGAGATCAGTGAGGAGATTGAAATCCTCATAGCGTTGCAGAGCAGAGTGGTTAAGGCGCTGGAGGCCTGCAAAGAGCCCCTGAGGGTCACTACTCTCTGTCTGGAGGAGAGGTGAGGCTTGAGGAAGAGGGATCGTGATACTTATACTTAAAATTATTGCAGATACACAGATCCAATGTATTGTTTTGATACTTCCTAATTGTCTCTTGAAGCTTATATATCTTTTATCTAACAGATTTGGCAAGTATCTTTAGTTTTCAGGAACTCAGTCTAAAGTTTCACACTAAGCTTTTCCTTTCACTTTCAAGTTTACTTATTAATGATAACAAGAGGGAATCTCCTGCACTGGACTTTCCACGATGAGTGTGAAACCTTCATGTCACATCTATCATCCCATTCTGTTCAATAGGCCTTTTTAAATTGGATTCCACACACATGGAATCTACTTGTGTTGTAATCTGCTTTATGTTTGTGTATCGGCAAAAATATAAAAATGGGGATCACTATATAAATATTATAAATACCAGAAAAACAGATGTAAAATATGAAAGTTAGGTGTTGGGACATTAATGCAGACTGGGGTTAGATTAACTGGGGACAGTGAATGGATGTTTGTCTCTGTTTGTCGGCCCTGTGATGGAATTGGTGACGTTGGTGAATTGGTTCCAGCACCTCCACCACGACCCTCACAGGAAAAACGGTTTAGAGAATGGTGGTATGGATAAATAAAAAATCTCCAGCTAATTCTTCATCCTAACAGACGATGTGGAGACGAGACAAATGAAGTTAAAATCACTTTGTCCAACAGGGAAACAACATCAGCAAATAAAGTTTGAATCAGAAGATTTGTGCATTTTTTTCAGGTGCAGCAGCAGGATGGATGTGATAAGTGATAAAAGCTGTATTCGTTTATTCTGTGTCCTGCAGGATGAACCATCCTCCCACTGAGAGACTCCAGGATGAGGTGGACAGAGAGCTGCTGAAGGAGAGGGAGGTTACAGAGGGGGTGGCTTCCCTCCTGCAGCGTGTAGTGGAGCAGATCACTGAGCAGATCCGGTAAGAGAGATGGACGAGTTGTGACTCCAGCAAGTCAAAAACCAGCAAGAATGTTATCAAATCACTGGCCAGAGTTGAGATTAAAATCAAGACAGAACATATTGTTTCGTGTTCCAGACTGAACCAATCTGCCAAGTACCACTTAGAACAAGATCTGAGGGAAAAATATGAGGCCCAGTGCATCGACAACTCCTGCAACCTCATGACCATCCATTCCATCAAAGACCAGCTGAAGTCCATGAATACCAACTCTAGTTTGCCGAGGTGAGCTGCAGCGACCTTGACCCTGTGAAGTTGAACATCGTCGGATGATTTGAAATCATTACCTGGTGTCTTGTTTTCTCCTCAACATGTCTACACTCTGGAAATGCACCAAAAAAATGTTTATATAAAGGTTTTGTTTCCACATTTCTCCGTCTCTCAGCTTGGCAGTGACTCCTCAGCAGTGGGAGAACATCTCAGAGGTGAACATAGCCAAAGCGGAGCAGCAGAAGACCAACTCACTGTCGCTACGGGCCCTCGTGGAGTCTCTCCTGGAGCAGACAGCGGCTGACATGCAGAAGCAGGTCCAGGCTACAACAGCAGCCTTTCAGCTGAATGTCAATGAAATCAAGTCTGCCAAGAGCCAGATGGAGGAGCAACTGAGCAAGGTAAAGGGAAGAGCAGAGGAGGCGTGGGGGGTTTATTTGGCAGAGAGAGCGAGTGAGGTGAGAGGCCATGATTCTGCGGTGCACGAAATGTTAATTTATTGGCTGTACCGGTAAACAGAAATACTGGTTGACCCTGGTGTCAAACGTGCGTCCTCTCTAGACTCTGTCTGAGTTCTCCAGCCAGCAGAGGATCAGAGAGGATCTCCAGGTGGCCATCACAGAGCAGGAACAGTTCCTGACTCTGGCCCGGGCCCGGATGGATTTGCGTCACCAGAGGCCCGTCAAAGAGCGATGTCACGACCCGGTGCACACGCAGCTGCTCGCTGAGGTCCAGCAGCTCACAGCCCACATCAGCAAGTAAGACCTGGCACGCTCACGTCTACTGTGAAGAGATGATGCAATATAAAAAAGGTTACATGACGCCTGAGTGGATAGACAGATGTTATAGCTGCTAATTAACATGAGCTGTGACAAAGAAATCTAGTAATAACGAGGAAAGGTTCAATACATTATGATAATAAAATGTATTTAATCGAAATTAACGAGTCAACCATTATGAGTAGAAATATAAAACCAACGAAATATTGATTACTTGATATGTACTTGATTACTTAAGTATGTATATTATTACTACCATATTAATACCTAACATATTTTTTATGTCTGTGCAGTTGTTCCTACTCTCTGCCACCGTCCTTCTCATATTCGCTCAAGTCTTGTTTAGAGATCTAACCATGCACGTGGCGTCTCTGTGTCTCTCCGACTTCAGACTGCGTGAGGCAGTGGTCCAGTCAGAAGAGGAGCAGAGGGCGCTGGTTCGATGCCAGCGCGAGTTGCAGGAATGCATCAACATGAAGGCCACCTCTCTGTACATCGATGAGGTCACCTGCGCCCAGCACAGGGAGCCCATTGTAATACACAACTTCTGAACAGTCAGCAGCAGGAAAGCTCCGCACACGACTGTGGTCTCCTTCACAATGCAGCAGTTATAAGAAATTAAGTTTGAATTATGTGATATTATATTTGTCATAAGTATGGTCTGAACTGGGTTTCAAATTTGTTTTTATCTGTTATTTAAAGCTCCAGTGTGTGTGATTAAGGTGAAAGGGATCTATTGGCAGAAATTTAATGTAGAATAATCCTCATGATGTTTTCACTAACTGTTTCATCTTAATTGTATGAATTGTAGTTTTCTTTACCCCAGAAAAAGTCCTTTATATTCAAATACTGTATATTTACATGGAGGGGACCCTCTCTACGGAGGCCGCCATGTTTTTTACATTAGTCCAGACTGAACAAACTAAACACCTTTTGAGTTTTTATGACAACTGAAGCTACCACAGGTTCTTTATCATGTTTGGAAGGAGAGGGTGAGGTGAGGGGTGTTCAGCTGCTACTTCAACACTAGATATCACTAAATTCTACACACTGTACCTTTAATGTGCAAGTTGATTAAGTTAATAAAATATTACCATATCTAATTTTGAGATCCATTGGCGAAAATTAAATGTTATATTCTTATTGTCTTAATTAGTGTATTATTATTCCATTTCCTTAGAATGAGCCCAGAAAAGACAACCCAACAGAGAGGGTCTTCTATATTTTTACTTTACCTCAAGTCCACCGTACACACACACTCTCCTAAAAGCTGAGAGAGAGGCGAGTGAGGCGAGTGGGATTTAGTTAATGCAGCTAAATCCAACACACTTAATCCTTTAAAGGGATAGTACACCCAAAAATGAAAATTCACTCATACTCACCACTATGCCGATGGAGCGGTGAAGAGTTTGAGTCCACACAACACTTTAGTAGTTACAGGGTTAAACAGTGTTGAAGCCAAATTCAATACCATTGAAGAAAATAGTGATCGATTCTTCAAACGTAAAAAAAAACCACATAAACATACACAAAGTAATCATGTATAAGTGAGACTTTAATATTTGCATTTGTTCTGTTACAGTACATTTCGTGACATCACTACTTGAGAAAATATGTTTCTCTTTAGTTTAAAAAATAAAATAAGCAGCTAATATATTTCATTCCAGCAAGTCATTAACACCAACACTCAAAGAGAGGTGGATGTTTGGAACAGCAATACTTAAAACCAAAAGCTCTCCTAACAAGAAAAGGCAGTGAAAACCACAGCATGTTATGATAAAAATAATCTACTGTATATTAATGATACACATCGTATCAAAATTGAGCAGCAATAGTAAAGTATACAGTAAATGTAAAGCGACAGTCATTTCAAAGGCACTTGCTGAATCCTCATTTTTCTCTTAACACACACCGATAATAATGAGTAAAGCTGTAAGTACTTATTCATTACAGTCATCAGTGTAACATATCATTAACTTCTCCATCTGATGATGTCACAAACAGTACTCGTAAGGAAGGATTGCTATAAAACTGAAAAATGCTGGTGGGTTAATGAGACAGCAAGCTAAAAAATGAGTCAGAAGGTCAGAGTTATATTTTATATATGTTTTCAAGTTCTCCAGGAACAACCACATTTATTTGAATATGAGGAGAACATCTTCCTAGAACTGTCCACTCACACAGCAAAGTAACATCTATTAAATATTTCAATAAACAAACCTGGAAAAGGTCGAGCTTTCATGAGACAGAAATCATTTCAGGATAGAAAACAAATTAAATTACATCATCTTACGTTTTTTTAACGGAATTCTTCACTTCCGTACATTTATTATACTTCATTTCAGGTTTTTTCAGTCATTATCTAGTACCTAAAACCATGTCAGTCAATTCTCTGGAGTGAGTGGGCTCACTGAACAAAAGCGCCATTTCAGTTTCCTCTCACACTGAAGTAGAGTTTTAAAAATGTCACACAAATCATGACATGTCCTCGTTTATACGATCCTGGCAGCTGACAGAGCTCACTGGTGGTAACGAGATCTGTGACTCAACAACTTCACGTTCAGTGGTTCTACACACTGCAACAGTTCCAGGTAACATTTGCTGGTTATTCAGTGACTCCATCTTTAATTTTAAATACAGAATTTCTTTTTTGACAATTCTCTCCCACAGATATTAAGCTCTGATTTCCCCTTGAACAAGAAATTGTTTTTTTTTAATTTAAAACTTTAGGACAGACTCAAATGAACACATGGAAAGTTAAACTCCTGCTCCATCTTTGACAGTGTCATGAGCAGACATACCAGTAACGAGAGGGATTCACGGATACCCACCTCTTTATGTTTGCTACGTCAGCAGTGAACAGTTGCTTCAGCATTGAACTATGCATTAACCTTGTTAGCAATTGTAAACACACATGGCCAGTGGGCTTTGTTCCCTTTTCCTTTCAGCCTCATGCAGCTCTGACAGCACTTGGAGGTTTTCAAACAATGATTTTGGATCTTTAACAGCCTGTTACTACGAACTAACGCATTGAACTGCTCACACAAGCAGCAGGCCTTAATCCTACATCACACTTACTACTTTATCATTACATCTAAATGAGGGCTTTTCCATTTAACACAGTGAACGTCCACCTCAGACAAATTCAAGTGCGAGATGTAAATTAGTAACCTGGACAATTTGAACCCACTTTTTTTAATGTGGAAAATGAGTGGAATCAAAACCTATGCTGAAATAGTTCCTGTTTGCAATGTACCCACTGATAAACAAACAAATATCAATGAATAACAATTGATGCCGAAGAACATTTTGAAATGTTATGAGGCTCAGGCAAGTCCTGGAGTTATTAGGAGTGACTTGGAGATGGGAATTAGAGATGAAGGGAAGACATGATATATCTGCAGAAATCCCTAACAGGCTGAATGAGCTTTAAATCACAGTCAGTGACTGCACATATAAAAATGGACAACATGACAGTTTTTGAAAGTGGAGTCAAAATTACGATTGCCCCCTGGTGGCTGGCTGCAGGTTAGCAACACCCACACCCTCCATGTTGTCCGCTGGGACCAAGCTAAAAAGTCAAAATAGGTCAAACTACATTAAGAAACCTGAATGCACCCACTCCTTTCACCTGGTACAGGATCAACACATGTCACAACACACCGCAAGGGGCTCATGCCTCCCAGAAAACCTCGGGTCTAACCTTGTCACTCTGATTCCTCACGAAACAAACACAACATCCCGTCAATGTGTTTCAGCATACAACACTATTACACAACCAGATACTATGACTTTCACAGTTCTACCACATTTTAGCCCTCAAGATAAAGCTGGCAGTTCTTTGCTCCAGTGTAACGTGACTAGTCTCAGGTTTTCAGTCAGCGTACGAAGGATTCATTTTTTTCTGCTTTGAATTTACCCAGAGCTCACTCTGGTTTACATATAGAGAGAATGTGATCTCTCTATATGTGATCGTAAAAATAATAGGTGTATTGACCACAGGGGTGTTAAGTAGCCACTCCAGTAGCATTAGAGAGGTCAGTGGGGCATTTCCTAATCTGCTCTTTCACTGACAGGTGAAGAAGCACAGTTATAAAAAGCTTGGTCGTTGTTCAGGAAATCCAGGCCCAAGCTGTTTCATCTCTACACTTTATCACAGCTATAACTCCTGGAGATCAGTCTCAAAGATCTTAACTTGCTACGAGTTGGTCGAGTCTGTTAATCTGGTCATGTAGCAGGCCTTCCTCAATGGCCACCTTGGACTCGTGGACCTAAAAGAGAAAGAGGCAGATCAACCTGGAGCTTAATGAACAAGACCGGGTATTTTGTTTTAATCAGATTTTAAAAAATGAAAATCCATCATTTACACACCTTGAATGGTTCACTGATACCAATGATGCCCCGCAGAGTACTACTGTAGTAGCACAGCACACACTCTCCTCCCTGCACAGGGATTTCCTCTTTACTAACATACACCTACAAAAACAGAGACACACTTATTAAACTCCGGGGACTTTCTCGTCTTTTTACTCATTGGTGCACAAGCTACTACCTGTATGACTTCTTCATTGAAAGCCACCTCGTCGTCTTTGACCCACGTGTAGGTGATGTAGTCTGTCAAACTGTTGAATCCAACCTGAATGTCATACAAACATTTATTACTCACCTGCTGCAATATCACTGCTGGCATTGGTAACCTGGTGTTGATGAACCTACCTTATAAAGTCCAATCCAGTCCCATGTACTGGAGGGGAACGGCTGCAGAGGGCTGTAAAGGACCATGGCATCAATGTCTGCGCTCCATTCGCCCTCCGCCTGCAGATGCACGAGAGGAGTCTCAGACATCTTCCTCAGCTGGATGAGAGGAGAAATCATTCTCTGTATCAATACAGTTTTAGTTTTGATAATAAATAATTATACAAATTAATCTGTGCATCCAAATTCTAATCTGGTCATACATGAGTCCAAAGTGTTTATGACAAATGTAAGTCCTGACATTTCTCCTTTACAGGAGCTTTGACCACCAAAATATAATCAGTTTGACTTTGACTCCCAAGTGAACTTTGTTCCAATTTTGAGAACATTTCCTCGAGGTGATACTGAGATGTTACGTTCACAAGACCAAAACGTTTTTTGTGAGGTTCGGAGAGCAAAAGCGTGACATAGATATCATTTTTTAAATGTATAGAGCAAAAACACCCGTGTTAGAGTTTCTCACCTCCAGTGTGAAGATGCCGATGACAGGCTTGTGGTCACTGATGCTAAACTCCATGTTGCTGGTGTACAAGTCCTGCCTGATCCTCAGAGGGTACTCCTCATCCTCCTCCAGCTCCTTGACCTTCTTCACTACCTCCGAGTCCGAGTTGTCGTCTTGCTTATCAGAGGTTTGGTCTTTGGGCCTGAGCCGCCACAGGATCCTGTCTGTCCAGGCAGGTTTGCGTTTCTTTCCACTGGACAGGTGGGCAACACATGACAAACGCAACAGAGAGGAGGGGGCTTCAGTCAGGAAACGCATTTAAAGGTTTATAGCAAGAATCACCACTGTTGTGAAACCCGTGACTGGATGATGAATGTGAAAGTGAAACTACCAAATAAAGATGAGACAACTCTTCCTCCATGATAAAGACTGTACAGACTTTACGGTGCATATCGTTATGGAGCATGCGCGTTAGCTGTTACGTAGCAGCTTTCGTTTTACATAAACAACATTAGGTTGAATGTGGGTTAATGTAGACAACTGATTGCTATTTAAAGGCACCCTGTAAAGTTTCCTCTATATTTTTTGTTTCACACAAAACCCATTTAGTTAAACATGCTGTCTGTCTTTTCCACTTCATTTGTTGAGATTTTCTTTTATTTCATCATATGTTTTCGTTCACTCTTGCAAACAGAAAGCGATTATCACTTCCACCGGTCATCAGTGAAATAGTCTGAACTAAACATAAAGATGATATTGCTAAAGCCACTAGTGGCCATAAACTATACAGGGTACATTTAACAACAATTTCATCTCATCAGCTCTTGAATACTGCTTGAGCTCAGACAGTATTCAGTAAGATAAAAAGCTTTCCGGTCTTTTCTTATCAGGGAAAACATTTGACTGAAAAGGCTGTTTAGGGTTTTTTGCTTGTTGTTTCATCTGCAGCGTGTTACAGATAAAAACAATCCTTGTTAATCCTGTAGAAACATGTTTAAAAGTCACAACCAATGACTGTACAGTATATAAAGATGGACAATGCTTCTGCACTTCCTCCTGATGTATAAAAAGGAAGTCAACACATCTCACTCATCTAATAAAAACCTTATTCGGAAACATGAGCCATCTGTGTGATACGATGATTTGTTTTCACTTTAGGAAGCTGTCATACCTTCCATCTTTACATACTGTCTATGGTTCCAGCAGGAAACGAGTACACCCCTTGCATGTTAAAGTTGTGAGTATGCATATACTGCAGTGGTGGATAAAATTAAGATTCAACCTGATATATCAAGGGAGATTTGGATAAAAATGGACTTTGTGCTCTTACTTAAAGCCAAACCATGTCTTGTAGAGCCTGTGAAGTTGAAAAGAGGTGTCGATGAAGTATATGCAAATTAATACTGTAAGAAACAGGAACTGAAGATGGTTGTGATTTAAAAAAAGTTAATTTATGAGTAACTTGCCTGCTGTCATAAGTATCAGAGTTTAAGTCAAACTTGTACGTGGGTTGAAAGTCCAGAGGGCCTTCCTCAAAGTCCTGAAGCATCTGTTCTTTCTTCTTCATCATGATCAACTGCAAAGGACAACACAAACTCAAATACACGATCCATCCAAGCTGGTGTACAACTGAGACCTGAGCGTTTCACAAGAGCTGGAAGTGATGAGTGTCATAGTAAGTGTCACACCTGATCTTTGCTCCACAGCAGGTTGTAGGTTTGATTGTTGATACAGGTGCGGACAAAGTGCATGCCGTGGTCCTGAATTCGGAAGTTGAGATCTCCAAACCAAAAGACCAGACTGGAGATACGATGAGATGAAGCTTCATATCAGTCATCGTGAAAATCTCTTTGGGTAAAGTGGAGATTTGATATTCTGTGCAGCGACTTACTTGTGGTCAGCAATTCTTGGAGCTTTTTTACACGCAAATGTTTGCGTGTCCATGATGTACTCAAACTCATCCACTCTCTCAGAGGCATATTTCATATGAGCAGCCAAATGACAGTTGAGGAAACAGAGCATGTGGCCATAGAAAGACAAACGGATGGAAACACCCCCTTTGTTCCCCTAAGAAACAAACAGGCAGAGATTAGAAACAGGAAAACCACCAGTTCTGTTGAACTGCCATTACAATTTCCATTTAAGGCACATAAGAAATGTGCCAGTGTTGTACACAAAAAGACTATCAAAGTGCACAAAACAGCTCATTAGCTACTTTTGATATCTTGAAAAAATTAAGATGAGATTTAAAACACTGACTTCTGTTTCTGTGGTTTGGTTTTGACATATTTTAAACACATATTCTATTCCATTCCCTATTTAAAGGGGAATTGCAATAATTTTACACATCACAGTCTCTTTATAGGGTTTGAGAAGTGTGCGTAAAATATCAGCAGCAACTGACTCACTGACATTTGCGTTTTTCACAAACATCCCCATGGATAATTTCAGGAGATTACCCGGATTTCAGTGAACAAGAAAGCAACTTGTGTGTGTTTCCTTTACCCAATATCCAAAAATGCCTGTACGTGTGTATGTGGCCTGGATGTCGCTGATGAAGGGGACATGCTGCAGTTTGGAGAAGAAGAGCAGCAGCAAACCCTGCATCCTGATAGATGACACCTGAAACACACACATGGCCACACTGAGTGTGCACTGCAGCAAACTCTCTTAAGTCAACATGTTGTGTAAATCTAGGTGAGGATAATAACTAACAACATAACACTAAAATTCTAGTTTCAAACAGTGTTACTCGCTGAAAAGGAAGCAACAATAATGTCTTTGCTTATCTGTACTACACTTCTAATAGGAGTGCAGGTATAAGAGGGTGTTATGAGAAGATCTGTACCTTAACGTAATTCCGTGGTGCTAAAATAGACATAAACAGATGACTCCATGGGTCATTGAACACAGCATCTGATACGAATCTCAGTGGCCCTGAGTACACCTCCTGCAAGCTAAAACACACACACACACACACAAACACAAACACACCCACACTTTTAATTGTGAGTCACTCTTTCCATACCCAGTTATATAACCAGACTTCCAACGCTGTCGCCACCTACCCGATGACGTAGAGGTCCGGGCGTTTTGGGGAGTTTAGATGGAGAAGCAAGGTTACGTCATCTGGAGGATCAGCTGTGGCCACATTCCACGTCACCATGTGAAGCCTGTGGACATGGAAGTGAAAAAATGTGCACAGAATTTCACACCAAACAATAATTCATCAGTAACAGATGGATAATGTCCAACGTACACTCAAAGAGCTTCATTCAGTGTTGCCAAAACCAAAAAGGAGCACTGAGTGACAGTAAGCTAAACACCCCTACAGTGTAAGCACTGTGCTGCTATAACGAGCCAGTCAGGCTGCTATAATCACCACATAATGAGACATGTCATCCTTGAGCCCAAACTCATTGCATCCATAATAATTAATTTCCCTGCTCTGAAACACATGCTCCACTGGTGGGGTTCTTTCACCAAAGTTCAGAAGTGGCCTTTTAATATGGGACTCCATTGAACACACAGAAAATCCATGAAAGAATGTAAAAGAGAAATAGCAACAGACGTTAATCAAAGGAAAGAGGTAGTCATGCACAAAACACACACACACTGTCTCCACCTTCGTAATACAGGAAAGACAAGCGAAGAGGTGACATTGGTTCTCCACCTGAAACGGTCTTTCCTCGGGGTGTTGGCTCTCTTGCCACAGAAGAGGAAGGCGTTATCCAGTGTCTTGACCATTTTCTCATGCAGTTCATGTTTGGCGTCGAAGTCATCCACGCAGGTCAACAGCTGGTTGAGCCGATGAAGCAGGACCTGTTTGCTGCCCGTTGACTGTGTGGCGTCGCTGCAGAGGCTCTCAGATCGGACACGTTCTACGTTGCCTAACAGCTGATTGATTTCATCCATTCTCCCTCAAGGATCGATGTTAAAGATTATGGAAGAAGAAAATTCTTGCAAAAGGACCACGAATTGTTGGCAGTGCTCTGGCAGAAAATTAATCCAAATTTTGATGATTGGAAATACGAAAGGAATCAACTGAGCGTCGGTGTAAGGTTTCGGTGGCTCCTGTAGAATCAAACCTCTGAGTGAAATGAGCGAAGTCCTGGTTTAATGATTTGGGTGCTCCACAGTGATTAGGAAGCTGGTTCATTATTTCCACAAGTCTTCTTTGTCTACTCAAACCCACGTCTAATCTCACTGTAAAAATGTTTCAACATTAGGCTTATTAATAAATTATGAAACCAACTGGCATGTTTGAGCATAAAAAAAACTCTGTCCCTTTGCAGGCTGCTGAGCACCCTCCTGGATGGCAACACATTGTTTTTTCCTTTAAATCCGCATTAGGTAGGTATTACTGGGCAACGTAATCCACCAGCCACAGTGCATTGTTTGCCAGTCTGATGTTGGTAGACTGGCACACACAGCACTCTGTTGGGTATTGCAATAGATCGAGGGTTTGAAAGCTCTTAAACTCACGCAGGACAGACTCAGACGATAATGACTTAAGCAAAGAGAACTTTTTTCGTCCATGCAAACTCCAGCAAACTATTCTAAGGTAAACAGTGTATGAATTATCGATTATTAAATTTCACATTCTACAATCCTTAGTCCCCAAATCACAACACCATATTTCCAGGACAATGTGGTTTGATGACAGTTCTATACAGATAATTAGTTTCACAACAAAAACTGTTTCCTGAATTAAAGAATTAGACATTACGATATACCACAGGAACTTCTGATGAATTCATCAGCAAGTTTGTCTTCACTAACCCAACTGTCTGTGGTGTGTTGCAGATCAAACTAAAGATTAGAATGGTACTCAGTAGAGAGCGTATGCCACTTTTAATAATAATAATAAACTTTATTATTGAGTTTACAAAGTGCTTTGACAGCAAAGCAAGAAAAGTAAATATAAGAGAATCAACAGGATGCAATGTGAAGTAAAATAAAATCTGAAAAGGACAGGGAGCCAGTGGAGAGAAGCAATGATCGGGTTGATGTGTATACTCACCATCATCCAATATATTCTAAATAAACACACGCTCATGTTTCAATCAATTATTCCCTGAAAAATCCACTAAAACAGTCATTTTAAAGCCGTGTCTGTAGAACACGAGATCTCAAGCCAAGGTCCGTTCTCAGGTCTGCCGTGTTGATGCTACTGCATATTGACAACATGCTGCTGAGCTGCACATCTCCCTGAAACCAGATTCAAACCTGAACCCGATCAAGCCACTTACTAAAGGTCTCCTTTTACTGAGCTCTTGGAAGTTGACAGACACACCCGCAGGTCTGTGCACGGTTTACACATGAGCTGTCACCAACCTGAAGCTGTGCGTGTCGGTGTCTCCCCTCTCCGGCTGCTGCTGCTGCTCCTCCGTCTCCTCCATCTTCGGCTCCACAGCTGGAGGACGGTGACACAGACACGTCGGCGGCACACACACACTGAGAAATGCAACGTTACAGCTACATGTTAGCCAACGATGCTAGCAGCGTCAGAGTAAACTCTGTGACAGCGGAAGTTTGACTCCACGATGCGTTTGTCATATTTCACATCCGTCTTGCGCACACGTGTTACTACAGAGCTGGGGCCATAACTTCCGCCGAGCTAACTTCACGAAGCTAAAGCTAACATCAACAACCGTGCCCCGCTGCTTTTTTTTAGCAAACACACGTGAGCTAACAGCTACACTGCGCGGCTAGCTGCTAAAGCTAGTTTTCTAGCATCAGACACTGAGCGGTGGAGCTGACAGAGTTGGGGTTTCATCGTGTTGTACCTGGACGTGTGAGCAGCCTGGTTTCCAGCTGTTTACGTGTAGAAACAGGTTGAACACTGAACTGTAAACAAACAGGTTGAGCGGAAGCTTCTCATCAGCTGGACGGTAAACTGAAACGACCCCGCCCCTTATCCGGAAAACACAAGAATAAAGTTTCCTGCTTTAAAAAAATAGTCACGTGTTTATTTGAGTTTCATTTCTTTCACAAATTTCTTTTTCTAAACTATTGTGCAGTAAATATGTGCATTTAAATGTAATCCATGTGACTCGTATGCCGTTTTCCGAGTCTGTAAAGGTTGTGGTTATGCTTTTATTCTGAAGGAGCCAGGCTTTAAAATGTATTTCTACTGGCAGGCAGTGAGGGGGGGGTGTTCCTCATGCATGTTCATGTATTGGTGATTGAACACCAGACCAATGTACACTCACACAAACAGCAATCAACAAATAAACTTTCTTTAATACACAATTGGATCGACATTAAAACATCCAAATTCAGACAATTACAATGACAGAGGTTTGACGTTACAGAGAAGTTATCCAGTTATCAAGTTATCGAGACAGAACTGCTTTATTGTGTCAATTATTTAGGAATATGCTCGAGCTTGAGGTTTCTCTGACATATTATAATCACTGACAGTCAAAGCTTAAAGTTGTAATTAGAACACAGCGGTTGTAATCTTTGTCCGAGGTTAAACCAACCACCGGACCAAATTAGACCAGAATGAATAGCTTACTTTAAATTGCTCTGATTGAGGTATTTTGAATGTTAATACCTCACAAGTTAAAGTTTGGCTTCCAGTCACTATGCCAGGATGAATTTCCAGTTTGATGATTAAAAAAAAAAAACAATGTGTGTACTTTGTGAGATTAGTGGAGAAATTTGCTAAATGCACTAGAGCCTATTCTACTTGTCGTCAGATCTCTTCTGTTTAAGTCAGTTGTAGAAAACAAAATAACTCTGGAGCTTTTCTTTTTGAAAATAAAAAAGTAAACAATTGGAAACAACTGGAAAATACAAAATCAAAGGAAAGCACAAAGTCCAAATATATTCCATTAAAAAGGCACACGAGTACAGTTAATCAGATATGTTGCTTTAGACACAAACCAAACCTCTTCCCCAGTGTTTTTGAATTTAAGAGTACAGAATAGGCATAAGCAAGAATGTTACATTCCCAAAGTTGGTTTCACAAATGCAGTACATAAATACAAACAAATGTTTTACAATAATCAGCTCTTATTAAAAGCAAATTTTATCAGGATGTAAGTGCTATATTCTTGACAATGCCCATCAAGCTGGTCTGGGTTCAGTGTCCGAGGTGAGGAGACTGAGTTTGTTGAAGGAAGTCAAATCGTCCTGTATCAGAGAAGAGAAAAAAAAAATCAACTGTCTTCTTCCTGTTCAACACTCTTGGTGTTAAATTCATCCGAAACAATAGTAAAATACTCACCGGGTGAATCCATCCGTTGCAATCACTTTTACTCATTTGACATGCCTTGAACTTTATCACCAGCCCTCAACTATGATATGGAAAAAAAAAAGTTATAAAACATACAAGCAGTGTCTAATTTATTAGGTCCACCTGTATAATCTGATGCAATCCAATACGACAGTTGTGCCATAAAAAGGTTAATTTCATTGTGCCTGTGAACATGTGTGGAAACTGTCATAGAGGTTTTATTGGAATATCTGCACCATCATCAACTAAAGGTGGTGTATATATAATAATAATAATAATAATAAACCTGTATATCCCCTTTCAAACAAGAACTGCAGCAAAATGTGCTTCACAACAAAGATTACAAAATAAATAAAATAAAAATCAAAGCACCGCATGAATAAAACAAATGTACCCGTGATTACCAGTAGCAAGCTGGCTTCCCTTATATATCGATAATGTGTTAGATATACGGTCGTCACCTTTCTGATGTGTGAACTGAAGCTTAGATCTGAATCTAAAATAATATGTATAGACTTGTGACCTCATGTTTAATCCCAGGACTTAATTTCCCCAGATTTATTCAGCAACATTTCCCTTTTAGATTTTGGGCCGACCAGCAGGATTTCAATTTTACCCTCAATTAATTGTGTTAATTAAAATGTCCTTACTTTCCCAAAATGTCCTCACTCCATAAGATCTACGCTCGAAGAGGTCCTCACAAAGACAATACAAGCGCATGCACACACACACACACACACACTCAGAAAAAACTGTGCACATTCACATCACATGAAAATATCCTGCCACATATCTACATCAGTCATGTGACATACAGATCTAGTTGCTCGGCACTGACAGGATCGTCTTAGTGTTATATCAATGCAACGGCTCATTGTGCTGTAATAAGACAGTGTTTAAAATCCTCAGTCACCTTATCCAGCTCGTTCTTTGTCTCATCCTCCATACGTCGGATGTCGTCCATGGACAGATCGATCCACTTGTCGAGCCAGCAGAACAGCTGTCTGTGGAAGTTGGTGAAAATTCGCTTCTCCATCTGGACAGAGTGGGCGTGAAAGAAAGGCAGCGTGAGAACACACCAGATAAATAGTACTGTGCTATTTCAGGTCTAAGCAAAATATGCATATAATGGCCACAAAAAGCAGTAGGTGTCAAAAATGACATACTGATCATACAAAAAAACAAACAGCAATGTTGTACCTTTTGAATCATTTTCTCCAGCTTGGCCTGAAGTCCATACCACTTGCATTCAATGGTGACTAGCTTGTAGGCACACATATGCGGACAGTTGGGGTTGTTAGCGAGTTCTTTCTGCAAAGGCACAGATGCACAGATCACATAAAAACAGGCCTTTAAACTCATATTTTTATTTATTCATTTAACTTAATGAGCCACAGTGAGGAGTTGTACCTTCCAGTTGGGGCCAAGAGGTCCTCTACCTGTCTTCTCTGACTTAACGAGGGCTGGGTCAAGTTCTGGTTTGTAGTCCTAAGAATGAATAGAATCAGTACAATGACATGCAGCACAGCTATGACAAATATGAAGCAACATAATAAGCAGCAGATCAATTACACTGAATGTTTAGTTCATTTGAATCAAATATCCATCAGGGGAAAAGAATGATCTCTGCTCAGATCCAAAACACATGCACATTTTTTTTTTTAAATCTTACACTTGAACTTATGCCTTTTCTGTCCGCTATGTCGATGTCAACTATTTCCCGTTCGGGGCTTGCTCCATGTACCTGCAGCAAGGCAAAGAAAAACAAGTGAGCTCGGTTTCTTGGTAAAACCATACACACATACCAGATTTCATGTTTTCTGTTAACTACCACTTGCTTAGTTTCGCTCATCAGCATTCTAACATTCACTAAACACAATGTTCAGCTGAGGCTGGTGGAAATTGACCAATAGTACTGAACAGGGATTGAACCACTAATGTGTTAAAGCCTGGGAGCTTGATTATATATATAGAATATATGTGTTGTATTCATAATTCATCTGGAAACCATGAAAGTGTGCACGAGATGTTTGTGAATTTCTACCTATTTAGCTTCATGACGCTACTTTTGCTTTATTTAATAAGTAAGAGCGGAGGTGTGATTAAAACAAATAGAAGCAAAGCAGCAGAAAAATTAACGTTGTTTTCCACCAATGATTACAGTTCTTGGCGAGTGAAGGAATGAAGTTTGATGCTAAATAGTTCTCATCGATAACTAAGTTAACAGCTGTTAATGCAAACGTATATGGTGGGAAAATTATGACCACAACTGGTTACTAGTAATTACAATTAAAATGACTTACATTTTCCTGATCCCCCATGTCAGGTTTGTGCCACGTCTCAATCTTGATCAAGAATTTTTCTTTCATCCAGGGATTCTGTGAACATAGAAGATATATCACATCACTTTTTCTGCATCAAAAAGTAACTACTTACAAGGGATTGTAACTTTTGAGTTACTTTCATATGTCTGTTTTAATTCTCTTTTTTATGCGCCCATTCTTCGGCTGCATTACTTCTGTGTCCCTGAGACCCAGTGTGGAACAGGACAAAGGTCATATTTATCGACCTTACTCATGAAATAATCTCAGTGACAATCAGTCACGGGCCTTCAAGTCAACACTTATTCAGCAATATTGTGTTAGCAGTGTGAAATTAAAATAACAACTGTTTGCTCCACAATCTTGCCTCAAGACACTTCGGTACATGCAATGGAGGAGATTGGGATTAAACCGGCGACCCTCAGGTTAGTAAGTCTCCAAGACGCACGCAGCAATCAATGTGGGTTTATTGTGTAGTAAAAACCTGCTGGAGGGAGTGGCAGGCAGTGAGAGCAGGAGAGCTGCCAGTGCTCTGGATCCTCATTTATAAAGCAGTACGTAGGATTCATACTAAAAGTGTACATGCGCACAAAAGCCGAAAAGGGTGTGTGTATAAAACTTTGCGCGCACACTCCACTAAATGACGTAAAATGCATCCTCACACTGAGCTAAAATGAGCAGCAGTTATTATTATGATATTCCTTCAGTTTTAACGTTGCACATTTGATATGATGTTGGTGCTGTTATTTCTTTTATTAATGAATATATTACTTAAATATAATAATTTGAGAAATAATTTAATTTTGTGTATCAGGAATTTCTGAACATTTTAACAATACCGTGAAAATACAGGTCACTGAAATCGTAATATAATAATGTTCACGTGGTTTCATCTGTGAATGGGCCCATAGTTAAAATAAACAGTTAAATGGAAAAACTTTCATCTAAGAGTACTTACTGTGAGGACTGCATCAGAGGACAGGGTGGCACGTGATGGAGAGGGGATGGATCAGAAAGAGAAGGAGAGACAAGGTTTTAGTTGATACACAGATTCAAAGCATCAAGGTTGTCAGCCGAAACAGTCCACAACCAAAAGTACAGTGTTTACTGTACAATGGGACGTGTTGAAGTGTTAACCCTCATGCTGCGTGTGTGTGTGGGGGGACTCACCGGTTTTGCAGTAAGGATATGCGTTCCAGGCCTCCTCATGAACCTCCAGAGAACCAGTCGGAGCTAATGTGCGGATGATAGCTGGCACTTTGCTGCAGAGTCACAAACAGAAAGTATGAAAACAAAATACACACACAGTACCACAGATACATATTAGGTATGACAGAATTGCTTTTATACAACTTCTTAAAGGTAGGGTTGGCCATTTGTTCCTAAAACACCTGTTCATGTCCCGACATTGCAGAGTCACGGCGAAGTCGTCTTCTAGCAGTTGTCAGTCAGTGCAGCAGGTGCATGTGTTTTTGGGAGTGTAGCTTTGAGAGGAGGGCGTAGGGATGAGATGAATCGGTTGCGTATTCAGTGTTTACCATAAGGAATTATTTTCATCCCAAAGCAGCGGGAGCAATAATCTTGCATCGGCAAATGTAGGGGAAACCCTGATGTTGTCTAGCCAACCGAACCTTTAAGCATTCATCAGTGTGAGATAAGCAGTGCACAGCCAACCTCTGCAGGTAGTAGATCTTGTGGGTGTACTGTCCCTTCTCTCCATTTTCCTCGTAGGGTCTATTTTCCAACACCTCCACGCCTTCTCCCCCACCCGTCTCATCCTTACTGGCCTCAGCTACTGCGTACAGCTGACCCACTTGGTACTGGAGGGAGGAAGGGGGGTTTGTGGTTTAGACACTTTTATACAATAATGAATTAAATCATTTTAATCTCCCCTACAGGAGGTAAGCCTGTGAATGCTCCAAATGTTCTTCAATGTGTCATTTCCAGCTATGTCGTGCTGATAAACTCTGCTTGCAGCTTGTTCTGCCGCCCAGAGTGGCCAAATATTGAATTCAATGCTTCTGATTTCCTCAAATGAAAAGGTGGCCTGAGGTTGTTTTATTGATTTGACAACATTATACCTACTTGATAAACTAAAAGTGAGTGTTTCCTAATGAGTCACCTCACGAGCTTCTACAATAGTTTCAGCCTCAGCACTCAGAGCATCACTGGAGAGATTTTGTTGGTGATACTATGTAACATGGGCATCAAATGCTCCAATAACGAGGGGGCACGACGAGATGGAAACACACGTTCAGAGAGCTAGTTGGAAGAATTACTCTGTCATGACCCCGTGTGAATGACCGTGAGTTAACCATTTTCCTTTATCACAGACTTCAGCATTCAAAAAACTGCAGGCTCAGCTTTTCCTTCTTCCTTTCTCTTCTTCCTCCTCCTGCACCCCTTCACCCCTCCACCCCCTTCCTGACTCAGGGGCATGTGTTGTGACACTGGAAAGACTGCCTCACATGACCGGTGCTGGCTAGGACACTTCCACATGTGTGTGGGTGTTTGTGTGTTCGCGAGCTGAGATGTGCTTGTAATAGATGGACGTGCAGTTTGCAAGTGTCTATAGTGAAATTTAAAAAAAAGAATAATTATGTTTATTTGTTTACACGTGATGACGTCGGCAACATGTGTACCAAACGTCTTGCTGGCTGTCCACAGAGTTGCTGTTCTAAATTTAGATTCACGTGACTTTTCCAAGTCGGAAAAATATTGCAAAAGCTGAAGAGACTTTAAAACCTGTGCTACCGTTTGCAGTTGACCTACACAAAAATGTTGTTCTCCTCAGAGACTGCTTCAGGCTAGTAACCTGTTCTGGTAGCCGTGGGATGCTCTGCCCTGCCACTGTGAGCATGAACTCAAAAATGTGACTCATCGTGAAGAACCAGTACTTCTTCCTTTTGTCAAGATGTAATTATGAACCTATAAGAGAAGGTCGGAGGACGACTTTCAGCTGCGAACAACGAAAACAGGCTGAACCTGAGCAGAGGTGGTCACGAAATCGTTTTTTCAGCAGAAACCTGTGAACCTGCTGGTTCACAACAAGGGTATCACTGACAGAAACAAGGTGTGTGGACCATTGTTATAATTAGTGGAAACACAAACTACTGTAGCATTTCAGTCCCATGTGAATAACCGTCAGCATGGCTCTGAGTGTCTGCTTGTTGAAACTTGTTTAAAGCCTTCACTGTCCACCAGTCTTTCCATAAATAGCTGCACACTACATGTTCAATTAATCAGGGCCGTAACTGACAACTATATTTACGTGTATTAAAATTGAAAACAGATTTATCCTGTGGTTATGATGTCATCAGGTATATGACGTCTTAAATGGGATAGTGAAAAAGTTACTCATTTACTCACAACTATGCTGATGGATGGAGGGCTGGGTGAAGTGTTGTGAAGTTCACAAAACACTTGTGGAGTCTCGAGGGGTAAATCCAATACAATTAAAGTTAATGGTGTCCTCTTCTTCACACGTAATAAAAGAACAGAAAACATGCGGCCATACTGCTCGTGTGGTGTCATCCAAGTGTTTGCAAGCCCCGACATCCATCTTTGACTCGAAACGAGATTGTTTACACCGTGTTTTTAGCCTAGAAGTCCAACGGAAGTGGCTAAGCTAGCGGATATTAGCACGTCTGACGGTCTTTGCCGCGTTTGTCAGCTCATAGGAAGAGATCTGTGGACATTTAGGCTTAAAACACGATGTAAATGACCTCGTTTTGAGTCATATATAAATGTCAGGGCTTGCGGACACTTGGATGACACCACACGAGTAGTATGCAGCCATGTTATGGTTCTGTTGTTTTATTACATCTGAAGTATAGGTCACCATGACTTCATAAATGATTTTTGAGCATATAATGACTATTAAGTATTACGTATTAAGTCCACCGCTGAGATCACGTGTTTTGTTTTGGGACACGAAGACACTGACGTCAGTTTCTATCACCAGAATCTCTCTGGACATCTTTGGTGTCTTGTGCATGACACCACTTTGTCAGCGGGACATATTTAGCTTTGTAGGGTTTTTTTTTTTTTCATTTTTGTAACTGTTGAGAGTTGGAAGCGTAAATAACCTCCCCACACCTCCGGGGGAAATACAGAGGAACTGCGGAGTTCAGTGAATGTCTGAAAACAACTTGAGAAACCTTGTTTAAAGACTGGAAACAGTGCGACTCCCCCACCTGAGGAAAGTCAAATTGTGTTTCGCTAAGTGTGAAATTAAATATAAAATAATGTAACTGTTGTGTAATCTACAAAATAAATACAACACAAATGAAAATAATTTGCCTTTAAACCTTATTTTGCATAATTCAAAGGAACCAATGATTCTATAAAAAAATTATTTTGACTAAAAATAATACCATTACCAAACTGACCATTAGAAATTGTAATGTAATTGCGATGCACACATTGTTTTGTTATCCTGCGAGCTGTTGGGATACATTTTTAAGTAACTGAATTCTTTCCAAATTGTTTTGCGTCATCACATATGACGTCATACGCAGATTACATAGCACACACCTATTCCATTCATATCTAATCCAGCTCAAGATGCTTTAATAGTTCCCTTGGTTTCTCAACAACACACAAATTTAAAAAAACTAAAAACGGATCGGAAGAAAAGCTCATTCACTAAACTGTGATTATGTGGGTGTGTGTGAAATCCTGGCTACTGCTCAGAGTGAAGTTATGAAAAAACAAAGGTTCAGTGTTGTGTGGAAGATTTTGATCAAAACTGGGATCAAGCAATGGCCTTTCTATTAAAAGAGTAAGTACATTAAATTAAATATTTGCAGCTTGGTTAAATTCAAACAAGCTGCATAGAATTTCACACACTAATAAATATCAGTTCCCAGCACCAGTAGTTTTTGTGTAATCTTTCTTACAAACAAGCGGACAGGGGTGAACACAACATCCTTTGCAGGACTAACGAGGGGGGGAGGGTGTAGAGGCAGAAACTGCTCTCGCTGTATATTTAATGCAACTAAATAAATTCTGGACCTGATATGAAGCAAATGTTAATGTTTCAACTGCAAGGGCATCTAAAGCACATCGACTGAGACTAATCTGCTCTGCTGTGCCTGTAATCAGGCAGTAAAATCAGATGCTGAAATACTGTATGTCGATCAGCAGCCTGTAGGATTTTAAACAGTCACTGAGAGAAAAAATATAACAAAAAATTTATCAACTGACACCAGAGAGAGGAAATTGCTACTGGAAATGAGAAAATCCCTGCAGTGACACTTTTGATTTAGAGGAAGTAAAGGCAAATCATCAAATACTTTAAATAATTGATGTCAGTTATCATGAACTGTCCCTGTTTAAAACAATGAGTAACCAAATGAGTCCTTACCTCCTCCACTGACACAGGCAGGACGATTCGGCTACAAGAGAGCAGAGAGTAGGTATTAAACACACAGAAATACCAGACAGCAATCAAACAGGAAACACAACAACAGACACACTCCAGCTGTTGACCAACAAAGACAATAGCGTAAGTTAACATGTCAACATCTTCCCTTTAGGACGAACCCAACAACCCATAAAAAGGGCGATTCACCATTGTATGGAGGAGTTTTGTGCCTTGGTGAGTTACCTGCTGTTAATGAGGCTGGCTGTTTCATATTTAAGCTCAATGGGAACCTGTGATGTAAAGTGTCTGCGTTATCTTTTATAACTTTACTTAATCAACGCTTGATGCATAACTAAATTAAAGGGATACTTCTGTTGTCTTACAGTAGTCACTAAATACATATTTAAAAAGGTTAACAGATGCCGTGGTAACGTTTCCCATAATGCTACCTGACTTGTGAATGCGTAACTTCCAAAGCCCAAACTCTCTGTTATATATTTAAAGTTTTAAGCCCAATCAGAGACGACCCATGATGTCATCATAGTGCACACCCCAAAACTTGCTAAACCTCCTCCACGGTAACACAATAACTGCTTTCGCAAGCCGTGCAGTACGCCTTAGGATGAATGAACTTGTGTAATGTGCTCATCTCAGCATGAGGAGCTGAGGATGCACCTGCATCCTAAATCGGAGGGCGTGGATTTGAGCTCAACACGTGAGAAAGCAACAGGAACATAGTTGATGACCATTAGCCGTCAGTCAGAGGTGACTGACAGTCATGTAAACACCACACCGCTGCAGGAATCTAATGAAACTTTACTGGTAATGTATCCAAGCTTTCTGCACATGCACCAACAAAAACAGCAATGATAACAATATGTGTGTGGGTGTGTGTGTGTTCTTTGTGTATCCATCTCTTGCGTGAGCCCATACAATAGCTCATTAATCGCCACCTGCTGCCAGTCTTGCAGGGCCTGAATATTTCATTACAACAGATCAGAGTAAGAGAGGAGCCTCCCGAGCATGAACTTAAAGGCTGGTGTGGTGAAAAGGGACACTGTATGTGTTGTTATGTTACCCTGCACCGTTTACACAGCACGGCCATAAGGTCTCACCATGAGGGTCCAGTACATTTTTTTGAGACAAGGCAGAATCATCTGAAGCCATATAATTTATCATGGCTGACTCCTTCTCATGCACTCTGCACCGTGATCATATGACAGCCAGCCACGGAATGATGTTCCAGCAATGATGTGCATGAGGCAGGGTTGTCAAACCGCCTGGCTCAGGAGTTACAAGAGTGTAGTTTTGTGGGTTTTTTTTTTTACTGAATAGTGAATTCATTCACTCATTTCAATCAAAGGCAGGTTTGTCATTTGTCTGAATATGTTAACTAAACTGACTTAAATCCCAAAGAAGAAGAAGAAGAAGATGGAAAGAAGAAGAAGTAAAGTTCAGATCTTGACTCGAGGAGCAGTCAGGAAGAAGAGGACGATTCTGTGAGTTATGATTATTATTATGTTCGGCCGATAAACCGCCAATGAACCGAGCAAAGAAAAAAACCCAAGATACCTGATATTTAAACTCAATGACTCCAAATTCTTGGTGAACATTTTCCAACTTCAGGGGAATTTTTCAAAAATACATTTACTGGCTTTTGGATATTTCTGCACACCTCAGTGCATCAAAGAAACAAATAAGGTGGATGGAAATGGAAGTTGATTGGCTGCACCCACGATTTCCTCCACACACAAAATGACTGGAGTGTCAGGTGGTGAGTTCACTTAGCTGTCAAATGTATTTAACTGCGCTCCACCTGTTATTCAAATAAAAAAATGAAACCTCTCCTTGTCGGTATTGATCCTCGTTGTCATAAACACGCATATACTCATTTACTTAACATGCATGTATGCATTCAAAGTAATGTTGCTGAAAAATGAAGATGAGTAGTGAATAGTTTGAGAAAGGTTGAAAAGGAAAAAACCACAAGTTTCTGTTTTGTAGCTGATAAAAAAAAAAAAAAACGAAGCACTTTCAGAGAAGTTGAGATACTCACTATTCAGTGATCAGCATGTTGGCGGTGTCGACTGTAGCTGTGCGGGGATCACGGAGCTCCACTGGCCGCAGGTCGGTGTCTGTGAGCCGGTTCTCCACTTCCTGAAGATACCGGCCGGGTGAGCGGAGGGGCGCGGCTTCGACTCAGAGGGACACACCCACCTTTAAGTTTCAGGTAACTTCATGCTGCGTTCACGTGCAGTTTGGTAAATCATTATCGAGTCTTTCCATCCGGAACTTGAAGTTGTGATCATATCGTTTCATGGAGCTAATGTCACTGCTGCCACTACACTTGATTCCTCTTAGAAAATCTATGACTACTACTTCTACTAATACCTGCTGAATTATAATCACACCTGAAGAAGAAAGGCCACACCTCCAACAAGGCCCAACAGACATTTAAAGGTCCAGTGTGTAGGAGTGAAAGTTACGTATTGGAAGAAGTTGAATAGAAAATAATCCTAGTGATGTTTTCAAGAGTGTGTTTGATGCCTGACGTGTGAAATCAAACAAATAGATTCGTAGATAAGGTTTCGGATGTTGTCGAGTATCAGCGATCAAAGCCTGAGTATTAGTTCATGTGCAAGGACGGGACAAGTCTCCTTGTCTTCACAGAGGGTGGAGCCGTCTACACCCTTGTGTAGTCAAACCAGTACAGGGAGAAACCATCCACTCTGGTAACACCTGTTTACTGGACATGAGTCAAACGGTTAATTTAAAACAATGCTGGTGAAACCTTATCGCCCCACAGGTTAATCACATCATGTATCAGTGTATGTGTTGAATGGATCATTTATTAACTGTAAAACTCCAGATACAATCAGCTTTTATGTGAGAGTTTGACCCCTGCTGGTCAAAAAAAACCCTCCTCCTTCCATCCAGGGTGAAAGACGAGTAGTGCTGTTTGTGAAAGAGGAGACACATTTAAACAAATTATTGTGTTTATTTTGTTTTGCATCTGTCTTTTTTTTTTTTACTTTCAGTTGAAACAATATGATTTGAAATGTCAGTGACAATGGCTAATACTGTGGCACAAGTAAACAAAACAAATATATAATATAGGACCGTGGAGATTCATATCCTCGTAAACATCAGCAAAAAAATAAGAATGAAGATGAAGAAAATAAACAAGGTACAGAGTAGAAAAGATTCAGAACATAAAAACCCAGGGAAGTGGAAATGAGGCTTCGGTTTAAATCTCCATTTCCTATTATCACACAAAGCCATTAAAACATCCTCCGCAAGCAAATGCTCATTCTAGGATTCATCTTCAGACAACAAACAATTGATCAGTTCATCAGACGATAAACAAAACTACAATGTAGAATCTATATCCTGGGGAAATGGGATCAGACCAGGAGGGTGATGGCATTGGGGGGGCGGGTGAGTCGTTTAAGGTACCGCAGTGAAGGAAAGTGCTGATCAGTTTCCCCCTGTAAGGGAATGAAGGTTTCACCTGTTAACTCTGCACACATTTATCCAGGCTGCATAATCACAATGTTGTGTGTTATTTCAGTGGGTTACCAAGCACATATTAAAAACTCAATGTCCATCATCGGCCACATTCACAGGTAAACACTGAGAGAATATCTGTACCTGCCTGTCATCTCCTGCGTTAACAGAACGTCAAGTGACACCAGCACACAGAGAGATGCTCTGTATGGAGTTAGATTAGTGCCATAATGTAAGTCGAATGTGTTTTATTGGACTTAACAATGGAAACAAGTTGTGCAATTGTAATTTCAAACTTGTTTTACAGCAAATAGATTTTTTGATTTGTACGGTTCTATGTACAAATTCACATTGTTGAATCTCTCCAGTACAAAGCTGTTATTTAGAGAGAGACGATATCACAACACAGATCTTGTTTTTCCACGTCTTAAAAATAATAATAGAAAAACGATCACTGTCCGTGTGTGCGTTTGTATCTGTCATGTAAAAATAAAGATACACGAACTAACATTTTAAAATCTGCTGTAGAAGAAAGGGGCATTTGGAAGACCACTTCAGTCCCTGGTGTAAATGTGATGGAGAACCAGAAGAAATGTTGTACTCAAAGAATACAAAAATGTGAATGTGTGAATAATGCAAAAACAGCAACCCTGTGACACCAAAGCCAAGCAATCCTACACATGCCTGATTTTTTACATCAAGATCTATTATTTCCTGAGTAACTGGTGAATCTCTCTTGAATGTTGAGGACAGTAATAAAAAAATGTGGATCTGCCCCTTTAACTAGATTCACATCGCGTCCCAAATTTCGAAAACATAACCACATTGGCGGAGGTAAGAAAACATAAGAACGTAATGAATTCCTGCAGACTATCAGTGTATGTTTACCAGGATATCTGATAAAGATCTATGACTATAAAAGTTAATTTAGTAATAAATGTTGTGCTGGCATTGTGTGAGGATTCATTAATTTCTGCTGCATTTTTATTTTCCTAAGAATCAACATTAAATTTCGACATAAAAGAAATGTACAAATGTGAATTTGGTTTTATTAGAAATGTAGAATACTTTACTTTACTGAAGTTCCTTTACATTTGACATCTAAGAAAACAGTTGAATGATTCCAGCACCAATTTGACTCCATACAGTTCTCTCTGATCCTAGATAGGTATCATGTAGGTGAATGAGGATGATTGTGTCCTACAGTTGTGATATGGTGATGTCCACAATTACAAAAAGGTCCTGAGCTGAGAGACAAGACTCTGCCGCACCGTCCACGCACATAAAGGCAATATAGGAAACACGTGAAGCAATTTCTGAGTATAAAAAAATAACAGCATCTTTCCATTCTCATGTTCGGAATTAAAAGTCTACATCTGAAGCTCTAAGTATACATTCATTGAATCATGAATCACCACTAAACAGCCATGCGCTTTGTGTCCGTTGCAGGGTGGGGGAGGGGGGGGGGCAGGCCATTCAGAAATACATGACTGAGGTCCATTTTCAAGGTCTAAAGTGCATCATGTGCCATTCGCTTCTCGCTAAGTCATTCACTGGGGGCCTCTGGTGGCAGCAGAGGCTTGTCTCTCAGCTCCGCCAACACTTCGCGACATGTTTGCGGACTTATGGATGGGTGGATGAGAGCAACAGATAGATGGATATGTGACTGGAGGGAGGGACTGGACTGGGTGGGCAACATTGAATCTACTCCTCCAATCGTCCCGTACTCATGAAGAGGCACTCTGAGGGCCATGGCTGTCTTTGGAAGTGCCTCTGTGAGTTTACTGGCGGGCAGAGACTATCTGGAGCTTTACTCTGTGGCATCTGAAGACAGTGGGCTGAATCGAAATGCAAATATTATCCCCCTGTATCATTCTCTACACCCTCAATGCTCCTGCCTCCTGGGCTTTTCAGTCTTTTTTTTTTTAGTAGGACGAATGTGTCTTTATCAGCCTGCTACCTTCAAGCTAATGTCCCTTTATGTCAGTAACTGGTGAATTCAAGTGGCTCCACTGCGTGTTATGGTGCAGTATCAACAATCTCCATCAAAAGCCAAGAGAAAAGTAGCCACGTGAAATGATTGGTTCTTTGGAAAACCACAGCATGGTAAATTTATGCCAATTGTGTTGCCCTTTGTGGTAAAATGACTTCAACTAGCAAAAATACACAAAACACATTTCTGTAATTAATTAGCACCCGTTGTGGATTAGAGATACAGCCCATAAACATTATATGCCTGTCCGTGTGTTTGATTGTGAGTCAACGCGTTGCCCAGCATCCCACAGAAGCACTTATTGCTACGACGAATTGAACATTTCCAAAACCCATGTGTGTGTAGCGAGCAGAACAACAGGGGGCTCCACCTCTACGCCACGGCAGCCTTTTAAAACGCACTACATCTAATATCGTCATCCTGTATACATAGTCTAGAAACATAATTCCTCCTCCACATCTTCAGATCGTATGTAGGGTAAAAAAAAGATTTAACAGTACATCTGCAATCATATTGCAATAAATACATTTAAAAAGAAAAAAACAACAACAATAAAAGGTTACATAGGAATTCATGACTTAGAGAAACAAAAAACTTTACTGAGTGTGTTCCTGCACTACTGACTGAGTGAAAGTGTAATAAAGGACCAGCATGTCAACACTGGAATCATGCAGTGTAGTTTTTCAAACATCAGAAGCCACTTTCTCACATTGCATCATGTCACACACACACACACACACACACACACACGCACACAAAGCTGCGGCTCCTGCTGCTGTGTTTTACTCTGATTCATCTGTGCGTCATGTGCTGTCATACTGTGTGTTTCAATCTCAACTGCTACCAATACTGCTGTCTATGGATTCTTATTTGGATAATGCCCTCCAGCGCAAGAGGAAGCAGACGTCCGGACCAGTGGTGCAACTTGTGCGCGTGTCTGTGTGCGCTTGTGTCTACGTACTTTTATTTTGTCTCCCAAGGGGATGTTTCAAGTCCTCACGAATAAAACAGACACCAGGCCGTCACCATAGTAACACCCTTGTTTGCTCTGTGGTTACTCTATAGTTACTCCATGGTTGCTCGGTGGTGGCAACACGTTCACACCGCACCAGATTTCAGATATGTGGTAGAGTGGGCTGTGTGTAAAAGCACAATACTGTCACTGACAATTTGTCTCCTCTAAAATTCCCACACATTCTATTGGCAGAAATCTTTGTCCTTTTCTCCTTCGATGGTTTATAAGACGGAACAGCAGAGCATAAACAAGTCGACCATCAGCGGCACGTGTAACGTTGCCTCCTCTTTCGCCCATAAGTCTATTTACTCCTCATTACAGAGATGCTGTTGAATACACACACACACTCACACACACACACACACACACACACACACTCACACACTCACACACACATCTCCGTAGGGCTGGAGAGGATGTGTATGTGTGGGTCTCACTTCCCACAGTGTATACACAACAGATGAAGGAGGGGAACACTGGGTGTCACAGTGGTGTGTAGTCATGTCTGGCAGTGTAATGTAGAGTGTGTGTGTGTGTGTGTGTGTGTGTGTGGGGGTGTGGAGGGGGGTGGGGGTGTAAGGGAGAGACAGAGTGTATTTTTCACAAGTGTCACCCAGGCTATGATAACCTCCACCACCGTCCTCTCCCTCTCTTCTTCTTCTCTCTGTCTGTCTCTTTTTGGTGTATGAACTCTCCAGTCTTTCTAGACGAAGGCCTCGGGCTTGTCGCCGTTGTTGATCTGGACGTAGATCTTGGGATCCTCGTCGCGCTCGTCTCTGAGGCGCTGGAGGTGGCGGCTGTGGCACAGCAGGTAGAGGGGCAGGCAGAATCCCAGCATGCTCAGCACCAGCAGGCCCACGTTCACCTGAAAACGACATGAGGGTCAGACCAAGATCATGATGTTTTGGCTGAAACTCTCTCTGTCACCTCTGTTTGTAAAATCTTACCCATAGAGGGTCTCCCTCCAGGGGTCCCACCATGGCCATGAAGAGAGGCTGCTGGAGCAGGGCGAACAGAGCGCTGATCAGAGACTGCATGCCTGTCAGGCTGCCGAACTGAGAGGACGGGTACCTGCAGGGGACAAGAAACATGTCTCAGATGGAAAATTCAAACAGGAGACATGACTAAACCATGTACATACAATGAATATCAACTCCTGTGTGAGCTACAGCAAATCAAAATCTTATGGGATAATGCTAAATGCTAAAAGCTACTGTAGTGTATCATTAATAGAAAGAGTCATAAACTCAGTGATGTGATCTAATACAGTATTAGCCACAGTAAGCCGATGCTCGATCGAGATAATCACATAATGGAGTAATGTTCAGTTGTCCACATACTTTTGTCCATGTGGTCTATCTAGTCAAAGGTTTTTTCAGTCGTGTTGTTATCAGTGTGTGTGTGTTTACACCTACACAGCAGCGTAGAGGCCTCCGACTGCAGAGTGGATGAAGCCCCTGACGATCGTGTGCAGGACGAACGACAGAATCTGAGGAGAAAAATAAAAACAGACACAACGTTAAGAACCAGGTCAGCTGTCCTCACTGAGACATGGCTTCCATCTTTGACAAACGAGATTCAGTAACAGTAAATAACATGCTATGACTCCTTCCGTCCAGTAGGTGTCACCAAAGCACTGAGAAATATCAGCAGCCGCAGTGCCATGTGAACGTACATCTCTACAGGCTCTGCAGTGCTAACCTCTCTGTGAGGAGACACATGCTGACCCACAAAGTTTGAAAGAAATAAACTCCACCGGTGTGTGTCTGTGTGTGTGTCTGTGTGTGTGTCTGTGTGTGTGTCTGTGTACCTGAAGGTGCAGGTTGGGGATGATGCAGGTGAATCCAAAGCAAACCAGGAGCAGGTTGGTGAAAATGAAGGCTCTGGTGGCGTTGACGATCTTCTGGATCTGTTTGTTAGGGCGCCGGGGCTGACCAGGCTCCCTGGTGGAGAGGAAGAGAATGAAATAGAGTCAGACATTTTTTTCAGCTGTTACTTTCTTTTCTTTTTCTAAATGTAAGTGTTTGGATATACACCCTCACCTATTGGCACACTTGTCACTCTCGTCCTCACAATCTTTGAGTTTCCAGTCCATGACGTAGCCAATGACAGGAGAGGTGACCAGACACAAAAGCTGGAGCACGCCAAAGATGGACGTGTAAACACTCACTGAGAGACAGACAAAAGTAGAGAGGAGGAGGGCGTCATTATCATATCCTTATGTTTTGCACATGAAATGTATGGCATGAAGAGTTTAGAGAGAAATGCACAAGCACAGACAGGTGTGTGGTTAGATCTTGTCTCTTACCCACTTGCATCTTCTCCACTGCAGCAGCGAGAAGCCAGCATGACAGGAAAAAGAGAAAGATCAAGAGAGGAGGAAAGGCAAAAGAAACGGGGAGCCAGAGTTAACGACAAGCACTTTAAGCGAGTTCGCTGAGTACAGAGCAGCAGAGATAGGATCGTTAGGTGTCGGAGAGCAGAGAGACAAGACACAAACAGTCTGGACAACAGGTAAACAGTCGGTTAAATGTTCAAACATCAGCAACACACACCTGTGCTCAGGTCCCCATCCGTCAGGGACTCCAAGATAGTGTTCATGGCGCCCATGTAGAAGATGAGGCGCAGCTGGGTCACGCACATGGTGATGAGGCTGAGCAGGAAGATTGGACTGAAGATGCTTTTCATGAAGGTCTGAGCTGCAGAGGAGAGAGAGAGAGAGAGAGAGGAGGCCATCAGAGCTCCATCAAACCAGTTTATACCACACAGAGACAATTTTTTCTCCTGCACAGAACTTCTCTCAACTGCTTTTAGAAGATACAGTGATTTTTTTTCAGAGTTTCACAATCACTGGAAAGTTACAGAGCACTATATGTGACTCCATACGTTACTTTATATAATGCTCCCTATGCAAACCCTGCAGAAAGAAATCTGGTTTCATTTTACAACCAGTCATCGAGCAGCAGGTTCTATATGGAAATGTATTTTTAGGATCTAACAGACATCTGTGGTCTCTCTGGAAAGAGAAGAGCATTTCAGTTTTCCACGAGTCAGTACGAACACTGGATTTGAAAAGTGGTTCTATACAAGCTTTTATATTTTATAATTCTGGGTAGTAGGTGTCTGTCCGATCATGCAATTACCTCTGAATATGCAGCTCACCCCAACATGTGATAATAAGTACGATTTTTCTCCAGAGGAACTTGAACTATCTTTAATGTGTGAGCGCTGAGAAATTGAGGAGGTTCATTTTTAGTTTTTCTGTCCTGTGTACGGAGACATAACTAATGTTCTTATTGTAAAAAATAATGAATGGACTTCTGCAACTTTACATTGGGACAGACAACAAAAAGTCTGCTGTAGCAGGTGAAGCAGCAGCAGATAATTTTCATGCACCTCTCACTTTCTGAACCCTTTTCATACGATGGAAATCTACACTGATGTTCTTCCTCCCCAGGGGCCTGTTAGGGAAGAGATTGTCATCTAAATATTCCCACTTGCACTCGGGTGCCACGGTAACACGTCTTTGCCCGCATGAGAAGCTGAGTGGCCTGGGGGCGGGTGGGTGGTGACGGCTCAAAGAAAGAAAGGTTCTGGGAAAAGTTAATCATTAATCAAAGTTGTGAATATAAATGGAAAAAGGACCCAACTGCCCATATGGCCAAGCACTGGACAAACCAATTAATGGCGGGTGCACAGACGGAGCAGATGGGTTTATTACCCAGAACAACAGGTATCCATGTGAAGCTTAATGAAGGGAATCGTTCTGTGAAAGGTCAGGTCGTGAGGCTTGATCAGGATTTTTTTTATAAGCACTTGAACCCACTCATCACTTCATTAATATCACAATCGGAGCATATTACGAGAAAAGAATGTGATGAAAAGTGTTTCGGTGAGTCTGCAGCCATGATAGCAGCTCGGTGAGGCTGCTCACAACGATCTATAGCAGGTTTATGTACTTTTACCATGAACAGAGTTTAGCAAGTCAGCATGTAAACATTTGTAGAAATGCAAAGTTATTACAATTCATCCTGAGGTGGGAATTAAGATTATTTAAATTTTCCAGAACAGCTGGAAAAACAGAAGAGGTTAGAGATAAAAAAATATTCACTATCTAATTTGTTTTTGACCTAAATATCGAAACGATCAAGTGGAATAAATATCCTCCCTGACTGTCTTTCATTCTGGCTTGAGATGTAGTTTACATACCAAACTAGGACACTGTGGTTATGCTGAGTCTTGTGATTTGCGTTTGCTGGCGGTGATAAAAATTTATGTGTTCAAAATAAAGTATCAGTGAAATATTCACTGACGCCATCAAATCAGAGCAATTGAAGCGGGTTTGTGTGTGAGGATGTAACAGGGGCCTCTGTAAAGCTCCTGACAGACGGAAACATGTCCAGCTGTTATGAAACCAACCATGAGGGTCCTGACACACACACACACACACACACACACACAAGGACTGGCTTGACACTTCAACCTACAACAATGCTCCTCGAGAGCTCCCTGCCAGGATGCCACACAGCAGCCGAGCAGCTTTTCTAAGAACTGATTCCACGGTCCGTTTGGTACCAAAGAGACCAAGAAGAGGGCAACCAGAACACCCCCGCCCCTCGACCAGCGGGCGTCCGTGACCTCGGTGTGACAACCAGCAGAGGTAAAGGGGCAGTTTCGTGACATTATGCAGTGTCAGGGCAGCCTGTGTGTGCAGATGTAGGTCAGGCCTGGAGGTATATGTTTGTCTGAGCAGCTGTCTGTCACGGAGGCAGAATACAGAGCAGATCTCCCATTCACTTCAGTCTTTACACTGACTAAAGCAGCAGATTGTCTGTTGACATGCGGGGATGAATATTCATAAGTTTGGAAACCGGGACACAACAAATACTAGCACTGCCTGAAGACTAAATAATTGAACACAAAGACTTATCTGTGTTTTTGAGAAGCTCAGTGTGGCTATTGAGATTTCTGCACACAGACAACAGTGGCATTATGGGAGATTTTAAGTTCGAGCTCGTGTTTCAGACTTACTCTCCAGCTCGGACTTGCACTTCACCTCCAGGTCGACGGTGGACAGGCACAGCTTGTTGGCCTCCTGCGTGGCCAGGTCTTTGGGCGGCTGGTGCTGCTGCTTCATGGAGTTGCCGACACTGAGGCGGCGCCCCACGGTGGTCACCTGCCGATAAAACTGCTTCCCGGTGATCTTGTGGTCGAAGCCCAGCCAGCTGAACTTGATCTTCACCCTGAGGAGACGACGGCGGAAGACAACAAGGTGAAAGATGATGAGTCATCGGTGGAGAAAACAGTCGAATGTGGTGTGTGAAAACAGGAGCAGGGAATACATGAGGGAAGGACAAGAAAACACCCGCAGATAGAGGGGGGGAAAAATAAAAGAGAAAAGAAAGATCCAGGTGAACGAGAGCAAAGCTATTTGATCTTCTGGATTTCTGGTATTTCCTGTCTTTGGCCTCTGCTGCATTATTCTGGGATTTACTGTGCACGAGTGTGTGAGCATGTGTGTCAGTGCGATCTCGTACGTGTGTGTGATCGCACAGTGATCTCTGTGGAGAATGAAGGCTGACTGGGCTCAGCCAGAATCCATTTAGAGCAAGTATAACCTGAGCTTAGCTAGCAGCAAGCAAGGAACGCTTAACAATAGCAGCTGGAGGCTACACAAATTATTGTTGTGTCTGTTTTATCTTACGTGAAATCCATGTCCTCTGGGCCGGGGAAGGGCTCCAGAGGCCAGTTGACGAAGCAGTTGAGGAAGACGAGGCAGGCGCAGCCGGCCCAAACCATCAAGATGGAGACGAAGGTGGCACCCAGATCATAGATCACCTACAGGCAGGCACCCAAATAACATAATGAAGCAGTAATACTTTTAGAGTTCATGTTAGAGCATCACCTTTGAGACAAGTCCTCCACCTTGTGAGTGCTGAGGACAGATGATTGAAAAGTAAATGGAAAAATCAGGTGATGTAAAAGAGTCCTCACCTTAATACCCGGGAAGGTGACAGCGGAGGAGGCGTAGGATCCAATCATTAGGGCGATGAAGGTCGACCTCAGGTCTCCAAACATGTTGGGGAGCTACGGAAACAGAAGGAAGTGGAAAAGAGACTTAAATGTAACACACAGTGTCTACACAAAAACACAGCCTGCAATCATGACCTGTTTCTGACACCGCAATGTGATTTACATAACGGTGAAACACCACAGGCTGAGGCCGCAGCGATAAAGATCAGTTTTCTAATTTACTGTATAACACGACTTAGTGACGCACGCACTGGAAGTGGTGAGAAAAGCCTTCAGGAGAATCTAGTGATGGAAAAAGACGAGGGTTTTTTTTATTGCTGCCACTGCAGAGATAGAAACTTCTACTGACATAAAAACAATAAACCATATAGCTTTCAAATGAGGACATGAAGCATTTTACAAAAAGGTTCCACCATCGCGAACAATAAAACACACCTTTGCCCAGTTCAATAGGTGTTTGGCTGTCGCAGCTTAACTTGGTCTGATGATAGCAGATATTTTGCTGTGATCCAGACCTTCAGCATTTGTTTGTGTGTTGCTAAGCAGCGTTACATAATAAACAAAGAGGACAGATTACCATGAAACTTCTATTCTATTTATGCAACTGTTTAAACATTTGCAATAATTTTGCATTGCACCTTGTATTCTCTTTAATACACTAAATCCAACAAACACAAACGCCTCAATCTAGTGCTCAACATTATTAGCTGTCAAAACAAAGTGCAACCAGTGCTGCCTGCAGCAAGGTGCTTCTTGCACTGTTGTTTTTGATCTGGGGTTTAATTGGTGCAGAGACAGAACAGCCAGAGAGAGATCTTGCACAATGACGCTCAACCCTCAAGTTGAAATAAGAGCACACGCTGTTCTTAACCAGGCAGCTTCAAAGTGTAAACAGCTTTCTTCAGACATGAAGTCAAAACAAAGTGTGAATAATAACCTACAAAAAGAGCGTGGAGGGAACAGATGGACGTGAGGAGACCAAATCAACAACGAGTGAAGTGATTCCCTGGAAATGGAGTGGGGGAAGGGAGGGACAAATTAGGGAGGAACATTATTATGGGTCATACGGTGCAAAACTTCTCCAAGAATTCCCTCCAGTCCCCCTCTCATTGTCCTCATCTGTCTGTCAGCCCGTCCATCCAGCCACTGTGCTCACCACAGGGATGCAGCTTGTTAGTTAGATGGCTGAACCCTCTCACCCAACACACAGACGTCACTCCTCAGATTAATTGGACCAAAGGTGACCAAAATCGCTACGCCCATTCCATGACATCCAAAATAACAAGCCCCCCCCCCATTTCACTTCTGTTTCTGGAGCAGCAGCCGAGAGGAGAGCAGCTCAGCTTGTGCCCGGCTCAGCAGACCTGATGCGGTTATGACAAATCGAGGCCAACTCACGATATGTCTGCAGAGTCAACAGGTTCAAATCCCCACTGTTGCTCTCTCACTTCCTTTTCCCTCAGGCTGTGATGATGGTGCATTTTTTTTTCATGTCTAGTCTGAGCTCAGTGAATATCAGACATTTTTAGAAAGACCTGAGCTTTGGGGTAATAAGGGACTGTGTGGAAATTATTGGGGGGGGGTGGATCAGACAAAATATTTTAGTTCTTTTTGCAGGAGCAGGAGTCTGATTGTAGAACCAGAGATACTGAACAAGAGCTATTTACTACAAAATACAGCCAAAAATCCATTAAGGTTGCGTATATGGCAAATAGTAAAAGACAACAGGGTCAGCAACAATTGATCGTAAAAACAACCCAAGAGTTTTCAAACTAGGCCTGCATCGCTTCCAAACATCTGGGATTTAGCTGCTCTAGAACTACTCTAAAAATAAGTCAGTAGACATCAGACTGATCCGTAGCAGAGTTGATGCGTTTCAAACAAAAACGTTTCAGTTTAGACGTAGCCTTGGTGTTTTTTAAGAGGAGGATTCAAAAGAAATGAAATTTACCACTATTAATTTAGTTCTTTCTGTTCAGTCCCTGTAAGTAACGAGTTCATATGAACAAATTCCAGATATTCAGTGCCAATATAAAAGGAAAGAGGCCTCAGTAGTGACCTAACATCTCTGTCATCCACCTCAGTATCTCCCACTGATACACCCTGCCTCGTTAATTTGCTCTTCTAATCTAGGAGACGGAACAGTGCACAGGTGAGCAACAGACAACAACAAAATCACATGAGTGCTCAGTTCAGTGCCAGAGCAAAAGAACCACAAACCATCTGTAAGACAGAAAACAAATGTCTAGTCCTTGTGATGAGCATTATTAGCGTTGCATCACATCAGAGTTTTTCTGGGTTACTAGGCCTGAGTCACAGACATCTGCTGGGAAACAACCGCTTCCCAAAAAACGTGTCACAAACCAGTTTGGTCGGCTCATCGTGAAAGAAGAAGCTGGGATTCATGAGTTCGGAGGAGTCAGGATAACGTGTGAGGGAGCGTGTCGATGGGAGGAGCAGCTGTCAGTTGCTGGAGTCAATAACACATCAGTCAGTCAAGCAGACAGGTACGAGTGTGTGACCGTTAAACACCTGAGGACAAAGGATCTGCTGTGGCCTCACGTGCAAACAGAACAAGCAACTATTGCAGCACAGAAACTGTTCAGCCACAAGACATGAATAATGGTTCAGTCATGAAATACGTCATAAACATATATTTGCTCGTACGGGTTCTCTTTTAGAGAACGCCGTAAACAAAAACATGGGACCACGGATGAGAACGAATAAGTTAGACACCTTGCCTCTGCAGCTGCACCCGCCCTCACATGAACATTTCAAATGTTTGTTCTGGTATTTTTCTCCTTTATAACGTTTGATTTTCCTCATTAATCATCTCTATCAACCTGCAACACGTCTGTGAATACCAGTTACATCCCAAATATCAGACTCACTGTTCAAGCGAATGGTGAAAGACAGAGAGGACTCCTGTGTGTAGACACCTCTTCAAGACTATGACGCCAACCACTGACTGTTATTGCTTCTATCTCTCGATAGCTCCATTGTTAGCTCTGTGGTCGCCGTGTATCCATGCACCGAGCGGCAAGGTACACACACACAGATGAGCTCAGTGTTTGGACAGCCACTGAAGGGCTATTTTTTGCTTCAGAGCAGTCACCTGGAGATAAGAGATCAGGGTTCTGCAGGGGGACAGTTTGCAGAAGGTGCATGTGCAGAGGGGCGGGTGGGGGGGGTGTCGGAAAGGGGTTTCGTGTGCAGGCATTTGTTGCAATAACAAAAAAAGCGATTGCAAGGTCTCCTGGCACACAAAGATATTTAACATGAAGGGCTTTGTTTGAAGAGTATCCAGGTGATTCAATATCTATTAGTGCACAGACTGTGACCCACTTCTTTAGAATGATTATTATTGGCTTGGTGATGACATTTCAGCAGGGCGTCACGCAGGCTCGGACTTGTCTTAACCTTATCGCTGCATTGGGGACATGTCAGGAAACTATTAAAACGTAAGTGTTCAACAGGTTTAGTCCGGAGTCATACAAACACCCTAAGCCTGCTTTTTGGCTGTTCAGCACTCTCTCTTGAGTGTATTAGTCACTTGAGGTTTCGATTCTGTGCTGAGTGTTGAAATGGCAAAGGAAAAGGCAGAGTGTGAGGTGACAAAGAGGCGAAGGGAGCGAGAAAACATGCTGAGCCTGAAGTCAGGCGTGTGGGGTGAGACAAAAAAAAAAAGAGGAAATGGGACCGAGCAATTTGAAGGGAAAGAACAGAGGACCGAAAGAAGGAAGAGCATGTGCTGCAGCAAATGGAAAGTTCCGCTGACTTCTGCTGGACCACTGAGAACCAGATCTGACTGGTCTCGTCCTGACGCACGGGGGATAGGACTCCCATCCATCAGAGCACATAAACCAGGCAGTAAGATTAGCAAACACCAGCTGACAAACACCAGACTGCATACCTCCATTGACCTGACCTCATGTTTTGCTCCCTCTTATTCAAAGTCTTATGCTTTTTTATGACTAAGCCTCAAATATTTTGGACTGAACCAGTGAACATGAGTGTTTGCACCAGGAATAAGCGCAGAGATTTCTCTGAACAAGTGTCATGACCCGTCCCTGTCTACAAATTTGATCCATGCAGCAGCCACATGGAACAGCCTGCTGCCAGATTCACACCACTGCACGAAGCCTCATCCGCATATCAGCGACTGCTGCTGTGTCTGAGCAGCTCCGATCTCATATTACTGAGCGACTCCTGACCTTTGACATTCATTCATCCCTTCTTTTCCTCGTTCTCCTCCCTTCGGTCCCTCATTACATGTGGTCCCACGCAGTAAACAGAGCATGTACTGTCCTTCCTCCATCTCCCCCTGCCATCTCCTGCATGGTAAAAATAGCCCAAAGCCTGATCTCACTTATTGACTCTCATCCTCGACCGGACAGAATGAAGTGATGTGTGTGCATTTTCCATTTCACATGAAATCGCTCCTCGTTTTTTCCTTTTGCATCCAAATTAGATGCCCATTCATCGAGGAGAAAATGTCCAGAGCGTTAAGATTCCTCAACTGAAACCTGAATCAAAGGCCAGTTTGTTTACTGTTTTCAAGCAGGGAATCTGTCGGATGACGAGCCAATCAGCCAAGAGGTGCACAACAACGTTATAAGACCAACTGGTGGCAAGGAAAGGGAGTATAGAGTAACAGAGGATAAACACAAGGCATCGGACAGAAAACATTTGAGCAGTGAGCACACACTCGAGGAAATCAAACCCAGGAAGCAGAGGGGGCTGCAGCACGTGCGACCCACAGGAAGAACAAGAGGAGGAGCTTCGTGGGTGTGGATATATGTGCTGTATAGATATATATGAAGAG